CGTCTATAATTGATTTCTGTAAAAGATCCCAATAGTGATTCAAATGGTGTATAGTGTGTATACTATTTAACGACATGTTATAAAGTCTTGTATTTTTGCATCGTTGATCAACTGAAGTTCTAAAGGCAGACCAGTTCTCCTCAAACATTTCGTCATATCGGAAAATTAGCTTTTTAATTACAGTACGTTGGGTGAAAGATGGATTGATAGATGCTAATAAGATAGTTACATAAACAATGGCATGGTCAGACAAATCTCTATCAACCTTTTCTACAGTTTGGTCAATAAGGTCAGGGGTTAATGAAGAGTGCATAAAAATGTGATCTATTATAGAACGTCCAGTGCTAGTCTCATATGTAATGAGGTCATCATTCGATTTTTGATTCTTGACGAGGTTAAAATTGTTAATCATATGGAGATTATTGAGCGAAGTGAAAAAAGCTGTCGAGTTTGAAGAATTGGAGGATCGTGACGGATCAGTGTTAAAATCGCCCAGAATTATTATAAGGAAGTCCTTTTGGTGTACATCGTTTATTAAGTTTAAAGTTTTTTTGTAAGTTCTTTCACGTAATGTTTTGTCAGAACTGAAAATATAAACATTAATGATATAGAGTTTTTGTTTGTTTTTAAATTGAAAATCTATCGAGTATATGTGATGGAAGAAGGAGGAATGATGAAAAGCATGGTCAGCCAGATGTTTTTTAATTAGAAAGCCAACTCTAAAACCTATACTTTGTGTTGAGGAGTCAGTGTTAAAAAAGGAACAAATTTATTTGAACAAATAAGTTTTAAGGAGTGTGTATGGGATGATTTATTAAAATTTGTTTCTTATAGAGTGATGACGTCTAAATGATAAAGAGAGTATAAATTAAAAGAATTTGTTATTTGTGTGTTAAAGTAAAAGAACGAGTATTATAGGTGGCAATATTAAAGGTGATAGGCACTGTTTCTGTATTCAGTGGTTGTAATATCATAATTATTTAAAGAAAAGTTCTGGGGTAGGAATCTCTGTGCCATAATCTAAAGAGTTGATTGCGCTGGACATGTTAAGTTTAGGAATCAGAATTATATGTGTAGGATATGTGTCGTCAAGGACTATGTGTTGAACGTTAGAAATGGCTTTGAGAACGATGTTTAATTTTTCAACTGTAATTTTGTTGTGCTTTCGTAGTTCTTCAGTCTCTGCGTACAGGATTGTAATATGCTTTTCTTGTTTGACGATTCTGGATTCTGATGTATTAACTTCCAGTTCGTAGACAGTGTCTGTATCTATAACGCTTTCAGCTTTAGCTACTTCATTAAGTGCTGCAGCTTTTTTTGGTGTAATTGTGAAAATGTTCAGGTGCTTTTCCACTTCGTTGAGACGGTGTATCGAAAAAGCAAGGTCATTGTGAATAGTTGCGAGGGGTGCAGAATAGCATCCAATTGATTTAAAATTTTTTGTGTATCTGTTAGTTCGTGTGTAAGTATTTTAGGTAATCAGTGAGATGCGTCAGTTTCATCCATTTGATCAAACTATGATTTCTTCACATGAATCGAATCATCGAACGAGGATTTATTCTTTGGTATTTTAGGTTCGTTGGATCTTATTAAAGGAGTTTTAACCAGAGGTTTGACGTCCTTAGTTCTATTAGCAAATGAACGTGAATTTTTTAGATCAAACATTATTTCCTGATCATGTACGAATATGACCTTTGGACGGGACACTGATGTCGAGTAATTTTTAAACTGCGTGAACTTATAGCATTGGTAGAGGTTTTTTGTGTCTGTTTATCTTTGGGAGTTGGTCTTTTCCGTCTACAATTTCATGAGTCGTGTCTAAAAATGAAACAATGTGCACACAGGTTAGTATCTGGTGTGATCCAGATAAGTTTCTTGTTATCAAACTCAATCAGATCCCCATTTTTAGCAGCAGCGGCTAAAATATTGTCTTGGGTAACTATAGAACGTCAATTTCATACATCTGTAGAAACTGCAACATCTTCTCTAATGAGAATTTTGTGTTTATCATTAGCAGATATTAAACAAGTCTATTGACAATACTGAATACAGAATTTTCTAAGATATTGAAAAAGTGCTACACAATAATGTGCATTATCACTATTTTTCGAAGCAACCTGCGTTGCATTTTAATTTTACATTAAATTGACCAGTATGTTGTATTGATCGTGTTGTTGTAGCATTTGTAAGACAAAACTGAAGACGAATCCATTCTTCTTATGGAATATGAATAGTAAAAGGAAGGGGATCATTATGAAGAATTTTTAGTCTTTCTATTATAATTTCATGAAGATCACAAACAGATAAAGCCAATAGCATATATAAAATAATTCTATGACGCCTTTCATCTACTGCAAGTAAATTCTATAAATAAATTTATAAATTAATAACTTGTAAATAATAAATTACAATAAATAACATTTTTTATACTTGCTCATTGAAATAAGCTTCTGATTCATCCCAGAATGCATTAAATTTTGTTTTATTAAATCCATTATTTATTCATAAATCAAATATAATGGTAAGATCTGCCAAAGTTAATATTAATCGTAATCTTTCTTCCATTTCATAAGAAATAGCATTTGAAGTTATAGCAGCATCACCAGTAAGATCAAAATAAAGCATTCTTAATATTGCTGATAAAACTTTCTTAATATAAGAATACTAAAAAATTATAATAAATTTATTTGAATATTATTTATTTAAATATCAATTGCATTATCATTATTATTACCTTATTTAACACATTTTTTCACATTTGTCATATAAAGTAATAGGATAATCCTTCATGAATTCTAACTAACATATATGCTTTTAAAGTTTTATTCTGTTCATCATTAAAAACTTCAGTTTCAGAAATTTTTCAAATATAATTAATAATTCCTAAATAATTGCCTTGATAATATCTAAAAATAAAATTGTTGTTAATAATTTTATCAAAAAAAATCATATATTAAATGTATACCAACCTATATACATCTATTGGAAATGTAAGCTGTAAATTTTTTATAAATCGATATTGTTTCATAATATCAATTGAAAGATATAGTTTAATATCAATGTATTCATAAAATTGTTTTTCAAGTAAAGCATTATTCAATTGAATATAATTTTCGTTAAGACTATTATATTCACAAGCAGCAATTCGATACATAGTACTACTTTTTTCAGGGCTACAAGCACTTTCATCACTATGATGAAGTTTATTCATATTAGTATTTGTTGTAACCAGATATTCCAAATATTTTCTTAAAATTTCAATTAAAGAAACGATTGATGGTGTTATTTGATCCCACAAATCATCACATGCTCACGGTTGATTAATGGATAATTCAAGAGAACTTGAAAGTTGAATGAGTTTTTGATATGATAATGGGGTTTTTTTATGATGACTAGTATGATAAAATTTGTTATATGATTCACCATCTTGATAAGTTTTCAGTTGTGTAAAAAGAATTGGTAAATGGTATGAACGTACACACAATGTAAAAAGATGTGGATCAATATACCAGAGAGTATCAGTGAGACGGCTTACAAATTTTTTGCCAATTGTATCATGCAAACCACCTATCCAGCCAACTTTTTGAACTTTAAAAAGCTCAATGATTTCATTGTAAAGTTTGTCACAATTATTGTATTCAGTACAATGCAAGGGAAGTAAAGGTTGACTTGAATTTTCCATTAAAATTCTAAAAGCATTTGGCCTGGTTTGTGATGTATCCGGTGTATCCAAATTTAATCCAGAAATAAGACAAAATTTAACTTGCAAAAATCCTAAAACTTCTAACATTGTTAAGTCACCCCTTAGCCCATCATCAACTTCCCGCCAACTTTCAGACTTTTCTTTTCTAACAAAAACTTGTACCTCTCTATCACTATATTGTCCTAATGTTACTGCATCAAAAAGGTCAAAAAACTGTTTATTTGTGGATTCTATGCTCACTACACGTTCAGGAATGATACACTTAATACCTTCGTTAACTTGTATCAAAAGATAGAGCATGTTTATGAACTGGCCCTGTTTACGCGAAAAATCACGAAAAATAGCAAAAAAAATACTGATCCGGAAAGATAATCCATTGATTCCATTATTGTTATAATATTCCAAGTAAATCTGTTGCACAATTGGCCTATCCAACTCTGTCTTGGTGGTTTAATGTTAGGAATCAAACCTGGTTGATTTTTTTTTTTTTTGTTTGCTTTATCTTTTAGTAATACGACTTTCTCATGTCTTTCAGTTGCATCTTGGTATCTCTACAAATATTGTAAGATAAAAAATTCACAAATGATCTACAAAAAATGTGGCACAAAGATAATAAATGCTAAAAAACTCATAGCCGATGATGGAAAGGAAATGTTTCGGAGAAACCTAAGCATTTATTGTATTAAACATCAAACAAAGGTTGCCGGAGCAACGAAGCTTTTAATAAAAAAGCTAATTATAAAAAAATTTAAAAATCCTCCATATGTAAAAAAAATAAGAGGAAATGGCGGTAAAAAAAACTATTTTTTTTTTTTCACAATTATATTTTACGATTATTGTACATACAAATCTAAATATCTGCAATCGATGTCAATCGGCAAATTATCACATGACCAAAAATACAGCAATTTTATTGGCCGTATATTGTGTATAATATTCATACTAAATTTTCGAAAATGAGGGGGGGGGGAGGGGGGGGGTTATGTTAAACGAAAAATCAAATTGGTATGGCCTAAGGAAGAGGTCAGAATTTGAATTACTGACTCAGCTTGTCAAGAGTAGTTTATGGAAACATATATATATGAGGCACATAACCAAAATATCTCGTCAAACTTTCTTTCGCCAACCCGGGTACAAACTCTTTCGTCATCCCAGGAACAAACGAAAATCGAGGAAATTTCTCTACCTTCTGATCTAACGTATCCAAAAAGGTCTTTATCTATTTTACTGAAAGCTAATTTATTTTTGAACCTTGTTTTTAACTCTCGATTTTCGTGATTGCAGGTATATCTACATCATGGTACTTTGTCTTGTTTTAGGCGAGGAAGTTACGGATAGATTTATATTTGATATCTCCGTCGAAATGTGGACTTCTATGAAGATTTCGCATCTCCGAGATGGTATTAAAGAGAAGGCATCTTTGAGCGTTCCTGCACATAAAATCAAGTTATGGAAAGTAGCTATTCCTACCAAAGACATGAATGACGAAAAGATGAAAATACTTATCAACAAGTCTCATGAATCTATTAACGTTAAAGAGGAACTCGGGGGTGAACTATTGGACGCAGAGGATTCTATTAGTAGCAAGATTGAAAATGTTCCTGCTGATAATCATATCCACATCACCGTGGAACCGCCAAAGCCCGCCACCACTGGTAAGTGTCTCCCAATGGTTTACCTCTCGAACAAGAAATTCGCGGATCTTTTATTAATTTATATCTAATTTCTTCCTTACGCCAAATTAAAGTAGGATCATCTTCTGTCCCAGCAAAACGGCAAGGCGAACCTCAAGATTATAACCGTAAGCCTGTTGCTCCTTCAGTCACGGATTTTTGGAATAAACTTTCAGAAGCGCAGATCATCCTTAAATTTCCAAAAGACTTTAACAAAACTGCATTCACTCCATCTAAATACATGAAAATTGAAGGAGATGAAATTGTGCTGGATAGCGATGTAATGTTGAATGCACAAGATGAGTTAATATTTAATGATGGTAAACCTGTGCTGGAATCAGTAGAATCATTGAATTTTGTGAAATTTTTACGTTTCTGTGAATCACCAGATGGAATTGTTTATGGAATAAAAACACGGGATATATTAATAAAGAAATCATACCTGCAGATGATTGAAAAGCTCGAAACTGATCGTATTAAAGAAGAAATAAAAGGGTGTACCATAGTTGGATCACCCGGCATTGGAAAAACGCACTATTCATTGTACCTTGCTTTCTATATTACTCGTCGCTATTCTTCAGCAGATTTTGTCTATCAACAATTAAATGAAGGCAAATCTTATACCCTTCATATCAACAAAAAAAACAAAAGTGTAATCGAACTTCCTCTGGGTTTAGGAGGCGAATACCCAGCAAATAGTTACTATATTGCTGATTCTGTAATCCCTTCTCTATGTAAGACGATTTTCACATTTCTAGTAACGACACCAAAAAGTGATCGATGGGAACAATTTATAAAGACACATCCTAGAAATTATTATGCTCCGATTTGGACAGAGGAAGAAATCTGGAGTGTTTGGAATTGGAATGATTATTACAAGAATAAAATACCTGAGACTCGAGTCAGGGAGCTGATTGAGAGGTGGGGATGCATACCACGACGAGTTTTTGTTGAATATAATGATGAGCCAGATCTTGATCGTTTACTCTCTCGCTGTAATATTCACGAGTACCTTCAAAATGATGGGACAGGGTTACATGATAATTATTCTGGAAATATTATACATATTATTCCTAATTATGATTTTACAAAAAAGGAATATGCTCCCGCTTCAAATGAAATAAGTAAAGCTTTGTACAATTACTATGCAAAGAATACAAGAGAAACAATCATTAAAATAATTCGAGATTTTGCAAGGACCGCCGGTGGTCCATTAGCCGGCAAACTTTTTTAAATGATGGCTCATGATATCCTGCGAAAAGGTGGTGATTTTAAGGTGCGACGCTTAACTGAAAAAAACGATAATTTATTTTCTGAAGAAACAGAAGCACTCCAACTTCGCGAGTTGAAGATCAACCAGTTCCATGACATTAGGGACATAGCTTCAGATTATTATAATATTCCCGAAGTTGAAAATTTTGAGTCTGTCGACTCTATTGTGCCTATCTATGGTAATCAAGCTAATTATTTATATCAAATGACAATAGCAGAAACGTATAAAATCAAGGTAAATATTTATTTATATTAGCTTTATATTTACTATTACAAACTAAATAAGTCTATGTTATTTAGGTAAATGGTCTTACTAAATTACAAAATAAAATGGATATGGATCTACCGACGCATCTATATTTCGTTGTTCCAAACATAAACGATATGTTTGATAATTATTATTTGCAGGACTATATTACAGTAGAGAGAAAAAAGTATGTAGGATGGAATTCGCAAACTAATTGGATTCAGAAGATTACTCAATATGTACTTCTGATCGATTTGTCAGATTTTTAATTAGATAGTTGCTTTTATTATTATAAGTTAACTAAAAATAAAATGTAAAGATTTCCTATGGATTCACATGTAACTTTTTTTATTCAAAAAAAATGCTTTATTATTTTTTTCATTGATACAAAAATATACGTGGAATGGTGAAGGTAGAAAGCGATATATATGGCTAGGCCATTTAATGCGAGTCCCTATGTCATATTATTTCTTTGCTCCTATATTTACGGAAAATTTCTACAGCTAAATTTTTTCTATAATATTGTTAAATACGAAACATATCAGATTTCCGAAATAAATCATCACCCATATTTACAAATTTTCGCCTAAATATATCTTTTTCACCAAAACACGAGAACTTTTTCGATATGGAATAATTTCGAATCTACAGCATACATTCCGGAGATTAAACCAATAACTTCGATAAAAAATAAAAGTGCTTCTCTTTCTTACCAGCGTATTATGAATTGCGCCAGACTTTTGCTTCGCATAATCACATCATTATGTGCAACCGTGAAGAATCTTCACGATCAAAAATCACGTGAGTTTCAGGTCAACTAAGAATAAACTTTTCGACCTGAACATAACCTTTTTATTGCAATTTTTTCTTGACAGTCGTGTAAAAATTTTTTATTAATTCAATGTAACATACAAAATAACTTTACCCGTGATACATGATAAAGTTATTATATTACTAAATTACTACATTTCTATCTATTAGCCTATCCATTCCTCCAGATTGCTCAATGACTTTATCCTTTCATTCTCCTCGATTCATTGGCTTCTGTACTTTTCCAGTAACCATATAATATGACCAAGAACTCTCTCCACCTTGTCTTTCATATCTTCATCTTTATACGCAACAAATAAGGGTTTCGATAACTTGAACGATGGTTTCCTTTCACTGTTTAGTGTACATTCCACGAAATACCATTTGTTATAATCCTCCATACATTATCCATATTGTTACGCCAGTTCTTTTAGATCGCGGGTAAATCACCTACGATCAGTGTTGGTATATGACATCATATGACTTATATGACTTACATGATTTGTCATTTGTCATTTGTCATTTATGACCTTATGATATTGTCATATAATTTTAACCAATCAAAAAAGAGTATATATAATTTCGATTTTATTTGTTT